ATATATATATATATAATGAAATCAAATGAAGAGAAATCATGAAACTCATGAAGTCCGAATGAAAATCAAAAATCCATAAACCTTCAAACATAAATCATGATTTATTAAGAACAATAACATCAAAACATCAATCAATGGATGCACAATCCAAAATCACCTCTTATTAAAAGATAAATTTCTTCGCAAAGAGTCTTGGTAAAGATGTTCAGTAAAAAGAGATTTTGAATCAATATAAAAAGGGATACATCTTACTTATTTACATGATCACACAAAAATAATGTTGAATATTTATATGTTTCATCCACAAATATCATAGAAAAGTATGCTTTGGATAAAACACATAAAGATCAATTAAATCATTTTTGACAAGAAAACTAGAAAAGCAATCATGCCAAGCTCTTGGAGCTTTGTTTCAACCCATATAAAGCTTTTGCATCCAATAAACATGATTTGAAAAAAAAGATCAATAAATTTGGGGGGTTGCTCAACATAAACTTCTTCATCAATAAAACCATTTAAATACACTTTTAACATTCATATGAAATTGTTTAAAAATTTTAAAACTGGCAAATGCTAAAAACATAAAAATTTGACTCTACCCTTGCAACTAGTGCAAAGGATTCGTCACAATCAATGTCCTCAAAGTCAAAATCAACAAAAATCATAATATGTAAATTGATTTTTAAAAACAAAATTTAGATAAGTTATTCAAATACATTTTCCAAAAAGACATGAAAATGGAAACGCTAAAAATCTTAGTTTTTAAAATCAAAAATGTTTTCGCACCCAAACACTCTTTGTGCCGGAGAGTTTAGGGATATGAACCCTATCAATGAAATCCAACACCCTTAGGTTATGACCTCATTTGGGCGCATGTAGTGCACGTGTCCGGTCATAGCAATAATTATGTAAATGATCCATTCTATTACTATAAGTACAATGAAATAGATTCATTTGTTTTTGTTGACCATAAGATTGTGCACGAGGAACATTTACAAATAAGGGTGATCTTTTTAAATTATTTTGTAAATTTGAAACTCTTTTTAAATTAAAATAAAATTTGGCTAAATGACCAAATCTACCATAATGATCAAATTTAAACATACTATCATGCTTATGATGAGCAATGGATGCATGTATGTGTATGTGATGAAGAAACTTTATGAGATGCACATGATGCAATAATATTAGCATTCTTGGAATTTTGTGCATCATAGCAAAATTTTGTAAGATAGCCTTTACACCGCAAATTGTGTATTTATAAATTTTGCTATACATGTGTGCATAGTATACGGGTTTAGAAGTAGTGGCACGTGACTTAGCACACAAGTTCATAAGTTTCTTATTATTGTTAATGCATGTAGTTAGAGTTAAATCTAAAGAAGAAATGATGTTTTTAATATTATTCAACTCATTATTTGGCATAATATCATTGACAATAGAAGTAGAGCAAACATGATTATTCTTAAATGATGTAAATTCATTTCTAATTGCTTCTACTTCTAATATGACATTATTTTTGTCATGATTTAAGCTAGCAATATTCAAAGTCAAAGAATCATGATCCAATTTTAATTTTTTATTATTTTTTTAAGGATCACATTCTCTTTAGTAATAATATTAAACTTTAATGCTAGCAAATCATGATCGGATTTTAATTTTACATGCTTGCTTTTCAAACTTATAAAATTATGATGCAATTTGTTATAGGCTTACATTAACTTTTCATATGCACATACGAGTTTATCTATAGATAATTCATTTTCGGAGTTAGACTCGCATACCTCACTAGGGCTATCGCCTAGTGGCTGTGTGCATGATGAAGCTCCGATGTTATCCTTAATTGCACTTGAAGTTGAATCAATCAAAACACGTTGGATTTCCTCCAAGTTACCATGATGTGCTTTTATAAATTTTCATAATGTGTAAGCACTATCAAAAGAAGCAAGTTTGTTAGAAATGGATGATTCAAAAGCATTAAGCAAGAATTCTAATAATAATTTGTTCATTGTAAACATCTTCTTATCATTATTGCTCCACTTGGATTTCTCCAACGTGGGCACGATGTAAGAACACTCAATTACTTTCCACAAGTCAATATGTTTAGATCTAACAAATAATTTAAATCTAAACATCCATTGAGTATACGGGAAAACATTAAATTTAGAAGCAACATTAATATCATAGCCTAAAGTAGGTACACCGTGTATATCCATGATAGACTATACAAGCAAGATAAAATTACAAAACTAGATTAGCAAAATACAAGGTGAGGATCTTTGACTCTAGGCGATTAAACCACAAATCAAAGAGCACCAAGCTCTGATACCAATTGAAAGTACCCTAGAG